CCGCCGCTGCGGCCCACGCCCGGGCACCAGCTGCGCGCGTTTGGCAGGAAGCTGCGCGGCGGGCTCGACCACAGGCTCAAGGTGCGGGGCGCCGCCGCCGCAGCGCGATGCATAGCCATGTGGGCGCGGCAGGGCAGCCAGGGGGATGGCGGCTGCGGCGCGCGCACAGCTTGCAGCCGGTGCGGCTCCCAACGGATTGGTCAAATCTACAGACGTGGTCCTGCAGCCCCCCCACCCACCCCACGGTGTGTGGCTCCAAACCTCCACTCCCTCCCCCCTCGGCCTCCAGATCCCCCACCCCACTGATCTCTTTTTCAGCTGGCTGGGGGCCTTTGTGGGCATCGCAGTCGTCAGCCTCCTGGACAGGGTGCGGCACGCAGCAGAAATTCTTATGAAATTTGATAGCTTTGCAGAGCTTTGGAAGTATTCAAAGGTTGGAGGGTTTTGCCGGTGTGCGCACAATTGTGCGCCGGCACGCGTGCGTGTGTGCATGCTCGTCCCCCGCTCACCCTTGACTGCCGACTCCCCCCCCCCCCAAAAAAAATCGTCCCCGCCCGCGGACTTCACTGTCCCGCAGGCGCTCTGGCAGGCGGTGCACTTCCCGCTGCTCGTCGCCAGCTTTGGCGCAAGCGCGGTGCTGCTCTACGGTGGGCGGGGCAGGGCTCGCGCCTGGGGCCTGGGGTTTGGGTGCGTTGCACGCGCGCGCGGTAATGCAGGCGGCCGCCGCCGGCGCACCAATGACGCCGCCGGCCGCAGCGCCACTGGACGCGCCCCACGCTTGAAGCGCGGCCGGCGCCAATGTGCCACGAGGGCAGGGCCCGGGGCGGAGCCTCGCGCGCATGGCCGCGCCGACTGCCGCGCACCCGTCTCCCCTGGAGCGGCCGCCACCTGATCGCCCCACACCCCTCCTGACTCTCCCGCCCGCGCACCCGGCACCCCGCCGCAACCTACACCCTACGCCCCGCGCCCTGCGCCCCATTGTGTTGGTCCCCCCCAGGTGTCCCCGAGTCGAAGCTGGCCCAGCCCTGGAACGTAGTGGGCGGCCAGGTGGGTGCGGGGGGCCGGCGCGTGCGCCTGCGCGCGCCCCCGCGCCCGACGCGGCCGGCGCGGCGGCGCCGGCGCGCCCTCCCGACCCCGCCC